GGGTATTATGGATCTGTTACTTTTCAATTGGAAAATTAAGATAAAAAAAAACTACTGTGGTTGAAACACCAATTGAAACTTTTGTGAGAAAACTAAAATCTTAGAAAAAAAATTATCTTTAAAACTTATACCTCCAACGAGTCGACGATGGAGGAAGCCAGACAATAGAAATATCGTGATGATTGATGGACCGTACCACGTTAGGGAAGCTACGGCCAGACAAGATNTGNTCGTGTGTTCTTAAAACTTCTCTNGCAGCCTCTGGTGAAGTTATGACAGCTACGTTTAGACTTCCAAGCTTAAGACTCATGACTGGTCCATAAGTTTTTGAGAGGTCGGCGAATGATTGGTGTGGCTTTTTACCGACAAGATGAATATTTCCGATGATGGGTAGNCGCGGAGGTCCCGGTGCCAATCTCCGCCTGGATCTTGTGGTGAAGAAGATAAGGAAACATGATAAGACAAAGCATAATAAGAAGAAGAGAGCTTGGCCTGAGATAATGTCCATGCTTGATTCCCTCAATTTTCCTTGAAATGAAAATTTAAGCTTCAACCTTCAAACCATTATTATTATCTAGTGTAAAAATCAAATACGTCAGAAGATATTTATTGCTATTTCGTACCAAAAAAAATATTTATTGCTATTTATGGTCCAAATCCATCATACTGGTGGTGGGAGATAGTAGACGTCATTTTTTCACAAAAAAAGTCATAAACAATAAACTTTTCAAATTAAATAATCAGCTACTATTAGTTGGGGGAGATTTTTCTGCGATATTGCATCCACGCACTTTTTCAAAAACGTTTGAAAAGTCATAAACAATAACTTGTCAAACCCAATTAAATAATCAGCTACTATTGGTTGGGGGAGATTTTTCTGCGATATTGCATCCACGCATATATATACGTGTGCTAACAAACAAAAAAAATGCTGTAAAGCTAAAGATTTTGAAATTTCTGCAAATGAAACACAAGATTTTCCAAATTAAAAATGCATATTTAATATGGGGCCTTGCCAACTCATGAAAGGAATTTTTTAACCGTGACGAGAAACGTCCGAGATTATTTAAAAGATGCATAATTAACTGTGGTTTTGTAAAACTATTTTCGTACTTAGAAAAAAAAACATATACGACAATGGCTAAGTAACGGTGCGTTTCTTGACCGGAACGGCATGTAACGGGTTGGTCTTATGCAATGTGAGACCGAAGGTCTCGTCCATGTCCAAATCCTTAGAAACGATACCGTTCGGAAGCTTCCAGTCAAAGGAATAGAGAAGCGAAGCGAGCATGAGACACTGTCTTCACAGCCAAAGGCAACCCCGGACAAATTCTGCGTCCGGCTCCGAACGGTGTAAGCTCATAATCTCTACCTTTTACATCAATCTCTTTCCCCAAAAATCTCTCTGGCTCGAACCGGTCTGGATTCTCCCACACGCTCGGATCACGTCCTATAGCCCACACGTTCACCAAAACCTGAGTGTCTTTAGACACAAGGAATCCAAGAACCTGCACATCGGATTCCGCTTTTCGCGGGACGAGTAGAGGAGCAGCCGGGTGTAACCGGAAAGTTTCCTTCACAACCGCTTGTAGATATGGCAATTCTGAGATATCAGACTCTTGAACGACGCCGTTTTGGCCTATCACGCGATCGATCTCGGCTTGAGTTTTCGTCATTGTTTTAGGGTTTCGAAGTAACTCTGTCATTGCCCATTCCACGGTACTAGAGCTAGTATCGGTGCCTGCCGTGAACAGGTCCTGATACGTAAGTACATATGGTTATGTTTGTTTTAGTTTAATTCATATGATTCTAGTTTGCAATATTGTAAGACTTACCAAGATAAAGTGTTCGATATCATTAGTGTTGAGCTCTGCTTCATCTCCTTTGGTAAGATCGAGAAGCGCATCCACGACATCTTTAGGGTTACTCCGGACTGATTTTTCTCCTATTTTAGCCTCGATAAACCCATGGAAAACCTTCAACAAACTCTCGCAACTGTCCCTCATCTTCTTACTATTACCGTGAAGATCAAGAAACCGCAGAAATGGAAAGTAGTTAGCAGCGTCTGGATTGCCCACAGCTTCCATAACACCGATCACCATGTCCTGAAACTCATTGAATTTTTTCGAGTCGTAGCTACCAAGATCAACCGAAAACAAAATGTTCGATATGATATTAAGAGTTGTGATGAAAGATGCACGAGAAATATCAACAGCTTCTTCTCTCTCGCTGCTTTCACTCATGAAGCTCACAAGTTCCTTCATCTTTTTCACCCTCAAATCTTTGGTCGCTTCGAGACGCTGCGGCGAGAAGACCTGAGTCGCTGACAATTTTCTCAATAATCT